GTATCTGATATACCTTGTATCAGGTTATAACAATCTGATACAAAGTATTAGATTATTACAAACCTTGATATTTGGGTGAAAGTTATCTTAGTAAAGCCTTGATCCAAGTAAGTATTGTGAATAAGTTAAGGTGTAGATATATATAGTAGTTCTATTGGGTTTAGGTTAAGTTATTATATTGGTTCAAGATTAAATTATTCTATTGGTTTAAGATTAAGTTAAGTTAGCTATTTAATCCACAACATTTCTAAAGCTAGGCTGTTCAACAAGCTATGCAAATTACAATGTGTGTAAATTTATGAAATAGAATTTATAAACTGATTGAAAATAGAACATGTATGATAATTAGATAGGACAGTAGTAGTTTTTTATTTTTGTTTTTTAGGTATTGGCAGGCTGTACTTGACGACTTACCTTCCTGCAACGAAATTAAAAAAACCTTCATTTTCTAAGAAGAATTTTTCCTTTATCTTATTTACTAATTAGATTACTTATATTTCATAGTTTCTTTAAATTATTTTTGGAGATTTTTTCATGTTTGTGTTTTACGAAATTTTAAAAAATTTTTAGTTTTTTAGTAATTAGTTTTTATTCAGGAGTATAATTATAATTGGAGTGTCCAATTTTTGTAATATTTTATCTGCAAATATCAATTTGATTTTATATTATCAATGTCTCACAAAAAAAATTCAATATTATCAATGTCTCACAATCTCAAGATATTATTTTAAAAATGATAAGATAAGGTACATAAATCTGTGCCTGGAGCCTATAGAAATACTCCTTGCGAACCACTTTTATGTGCGCTCGGTGCTTTAAATGTGTATAAACTCAATTTACATCAAGTTTTTTTGTTTATGCTATTTAAGAATAAACCAAAACGATTATTACTGTTTTAGGATAATTTATCCAATTTTAAATGTTACTTTTAAAGTAAGCTTAATCAAATAAAAACAAATTCATTTATATCAATGAAACTTAAGTGGTGATGTTAAAAATTCATCTAGTGAATATGTTGCTAATGAAATTTTATATTACAGAGAGACATGAAGAAACGGAGACAAACTTTTTTAACCATTTTTTATTAAACCAACAAAAATTATGTAAAACAACGATGAATAACAACAACTTGGACCTTCTGTAATAATATACTCAGCCGGTTTCGAAGTGGCCTCCTCCTTTAGTGGCGATAAATAAGCCCAAATTCATTCATTTTGAAATTTTTAGCAATAGGCTGCAGATCTTTTGGCAACAATCGATCCCATTCCCGGCGCAGCGATTGCTTCAGCGACTCCAAACTTTTGTGGCGTATAGTACAGGCTCTTCCCTCTAAAACTGACTACACGCTGTAATCCATCGGGTTGTGATCCAGCGAATAGGGCGGCCATTCCGAAGACGCGATGAGGTCTGGAAAGTGAACCCGACACCAGTATTGAGTTGTTTTCGCCTTGTGAGCAGCGACAGATTCCTGTTGGAACGTCCAATTCACATCGGTTGGGCCCACGGAAGTACCACAGTCTCTAGAATGTCACGTCGGTAGACTTTTTGGTTGATTTTGACTCCTTCATCCACAAAAACGAGGGGAGGGAATCTTATCACTAGTGCAGATTCCGCTCCAGACCATGACGGCAGAAGCGTAGCAATGGGCCCGCAGCCGCGGGAGAACCCAAACTTATTAGGGGCCTTTTTTGCTATTATTGTATAGCTAAGAATTACAAAATCTTAGCTATACAATATGAAACATACTTGTTTCTATTAAATTAAATCAAAATTGTATTTAAAAAGAAGGCTTTTGTTTTCATGTATAATTTTTTTTTTGTTTTGATAGGGAGGGGGGGGGGGGAGAGAGAAGTAATTTAGGGGATTAAAATTTTTCGGGGAGGCCTATTTGTTGTCGCTACGCTACTGCATGACGGACTACGGATTTTGGCGGTGTTCGACAATGGCCTTCGTGCCGGGAGCCTCAGCGGACCAGTTCCTGTCGTTATGGTGGTTGTGCGCCTGCTCGACGGTGAACAGCTTATCGTCCGTGAACAGGATGCGCTCCCATCGCTGAGCAGCGGCCCGACACTTGAGTTGGCGACATCTCTGGAGTCGCACTCGTTTGTTTTAATCGGTGAGCAACTGAACTTTTTGAGGCTTGTAAGGCTTAAGATTGAACTCCCTTTTTGCCTTTTTGTCGCACCGATTCACGTTTCATTCCGGTTTCACGGGCAATTTTTCGTATGAAGACCCTCGAATTTCGCTTGACTCGCCTCCTGATGATCTAACGGTTGGCGGACGTGTTGACGGTGCTTTTACCACTTCCTTAACTAACAGTTTTCTTTTACCACTTCTTTATCATCCATCATACCATACCATCATATCATACCATACCATCTTTTACCACTTCCTTAACTAACAGTTCTCAATTATTTGTTATTTTGAATTACTTTATTGTCTTAGTTATTTTCTGTTTTAATTCTGATTTACGTTTTTATATATACTTCTATGTTACGGCTATGTATCTCTTTTTTTTTTTAATATATAGAGGCAAGAAGAAGGTTAAATGTGTCTTCTTCTTGCTCCAGCCATTAATTTTGATATATGTATACGCAATGTAAACATTTTTTAAAGACGAAATAAATTACACACACAAAAAAATTAATAAACCTCTGTTACCCATCCGATACACCTCCGTTTAAGCACTGACGTTACCGCAATTCAAATTATTTCGGTAAAGCAGTAAATTTCGATAATTAGATAAGAAATCGGGTATTTAGTTAGGTAATTGTGATGCTGTCCTTTTTTATAGAGTGAATGACTGGGCGTTATACTGTGTGTTATTTTTTATCAAAAAATTGTGTGCGATATAAAGCAATTTTTTACCGCATAAAATAGCTTTTCTGCTAACCATCGATGCAGTAACGCCAGTGCTAGCACTGTAAGATTGCCTACCTTCGTTACATCTCTAGTCTATAAAATGCCTACGAAGAAATTTTTTTTAGTTATTTCAGATGAGAGCGATCGTGAATTATACAGATTGTGTATCATTTTACGATTTTAATTCGTTTTTAAATGTTTTTCATTTAAGAATTTTCCATTTTTTAATTCCATTAAAAAATGCAAATTTGGGTCGTAAAAGTTATTTGTTAATTTAAAAACTTTACAGTGTTTCATTCATATTTTATAAATACTTAATTTTTCTGATTTTTAGTTCGATAAGAAGCTTTATTAATGGATGCAGGAAATAAATGAATTTTCTTTACAAACGTAACGAATTTTTTTTTATCGCCAATAAATTTAGAACAATTTTAGAACAATTGTAATCAGGATTGTTTTAAACAATTTCTTTTTTATTTCTTTTTTTAGTTTAGCGAATTTCTAAGCTTTTATTTGTAAAATATCATACAATATTATGACACTTTAAAAGATAAGATAATTTACCTCTTTATAAGATGAAATAACAAAAATCGCTTAAATAAATATAAAAAAGTTAAATCACTTAGTTAAAGCTGATTTATGATTATTTAAACAGATTACTTGAAAGTTTAATTGTTCGTCATGAGTAATATTTAATTAAAATATTTTTTTATTAAACGTTTAATACACCCACTAAGAATTATTTACGTTTTTTTTAATGCAGCGTTCAAAATACTTCTGAAAACAAACCAAATAAATTCATGGTACTAAATTTGTGAATTTTATACACTAAAGTTAGCTGAAGCCTTCAGCCTGAAACTTAGTCAAAATTTTTTTTTAGAAAGCCTTTAATCACAAGATAACGTTTTAATCACAAGATAACGTTTTAATCACAAGATAACGTTTTAATCACAAGATAACGTTTTAATCACAAGATAACGTTCTAATCACAAGATAACGTTTTAGGAAACGGAATCTGGAGACTTGGGAATGTTGAAAATAGATGTGTACATTATTTTTTTGTATCATCGAAAAGTTTTTTTTTTAAGTAATAAAAACAAAGTATTTTAAACCTAAAATTATTTAATTTTTTTATCTAACTTTATTACTAGCTTTGTAGTGAGCCAAATTATAAAACACAAAGTCATTAGGCTTATATAAAAATTTTAAAAAGCAAGAAAAAAAAATGACATGTAAAGAGATGGAGCAACCATTATAAATAGTTTTCCGAAAAATCGAAAATTAATACTCTGAACAATAATCAAACTATATGCATTTTATTTTATTACGAGTCGTTCAAAAATCTTGTAAAATATACGAGTAAAATACGTTCGCTTTCCGCAAACAACAACAAACCACTGAAATTCAACAAAGCAAGAAATCGCTGAAGAAATTATTGAATTAGTAACAAATCAACTTTTTTTTTTTTTTTTTTTGCTACGTACTTAGTAGATTTTAAATAATAGAGGGGCGAGTATTATAAAAGGCTTCATAAAACTTCATAAAAAATCAAGTGTTAAAAATATTTTTTTTAATTTAATTTTTCAAATTTAAAATCTATCAAACTTCGGGATTTCAGGAAGTTTTGGTCAAAAAATTCTGCTGGATCCTATAGAACTTTTTGATTAGTACTAATACATTTTTATAATATTTGATTAGTACTAATATTTATTAATAGTAATAATTTTTTGCAGGGCGTACTTTTTAATTAGTATTAATTAGCACTAATGAGTACCCTTACTATAGTAAGTCTGCGAACCAGAGCCGTCACGCCGCTCTCGGGGTTAAACATTCCTTATACTAAAAATGAGGACTTTTTTTTTTTTTTTTTTTTTTTTTTGAGGTACCTTCTTTTCATTTAAAATCTGCCCCCCGGAACAAACTGTCCCTTTCGCCCCCTCCCCTCACTCGGCGGCCCTGAATTGTATCTGAACTGACTCTGAAAGTAATAAATATGTTTATATATCATAATGACCAAGCCAGTTATTACTACATATTAAAGGTCTTTTTTGGACTCTGTGACCAGACCTTTTACTAATGAATAACCAAATCAAAAATGTGAAGCGAAAAGCAAAGTACGCAAGTAAAATGAACTTTCAATATAAATAAATAATAATTGCAAATCAATGATTTCTTCTTAAATGTGTTTCCGATTTAATTACAACAGTTTCGGCATTTCGTTGAACAATAACAAAAAATATTTTAAGTTTCCAGTTACAGAAAAAAAGAAAAAAAAGGTAACTTATAGTTTTTTTTTAATGTATTATAACGTTCGTATATAAATATTATATATTTTGATGCAAATATTGCTATTTTAAAAGATTTGAATTGATATAACAGTATGACCTATTGATATAACAGTATAAACTTTATATACTATAACTTACGTATAAAAGTGTTTTGGATTAAAAAAAATTTGTTCGTAATTTTTTTTTTTTTTTTGTATATTAAATTTTTATATTTTAAAATGTACGTTTTCAAATATATTAGTTTATTTGTTTCATTATCTAAATAATAGTTGTTTTTTATTTTCTACTTTATCAGAACAATCTGTATTAACAGTTCATAAGTACTAATGATCGTGAAAAAGTTTATAAACACTTTTGATTAAATATAAGACAAAATAAGCATCAAAACAATTTTTTAAATAAAAACGTATTTTTTTTTGTTTTAGTAAAATAATAATAAAACATTTTTGTTTTAGTATAATATTAATAAAACAATATAATATTAAATTTGATATTGTACATTTTGAAAATGTGAATTTAGGCTTCTAGTTTGTTTAACTGAATGTTCATTGCTATTGTATATAGTTTTGAACTGTGCATTGAGTTGTATCTTTTTATTACTAAATTTTTTCATTCTTGTAAATAAAAGAATTTTTATTTATCCTAATATTTTAAACTTTAAAATATATTATTGCTTCTTTTTTTTTTTGCAAATACGTACTCTATACTATGTTAAGTTTATGAAATGAAAAACAGATTAAAATTTTTTTTTATAATTTTAAATTAATTATAAAGCAGCTGTTTCAGTTTCATCTGAATTAAAGACTATATACAAATTGTGTCTAATAGTGCCTAAAGCTATATATATATATATATATATATATATATATATATATATATATATATATATATATATATATATATATATATATATATATATATATGTATATATATATGTATACATATATATATATATATATAAATATATATTTATATATATATATATACATATATATATATATATATATATATATATATATATATATATATATATATATATATATATATATATATATATATATATATATATGTATGTATATATATATATATATTTATATATATATATATACATATATATATACATATATATATATATATATATATATATATATATATATATATATATATATATATATATATATATATATATATATATATATATATATATATATATGTATATATATATTTATATATATATATATATGTATATATATATATATATATATGTATATATATATGTGTATATATATATATATATATATATATATTTATATATATATATATATATACATATATATATACATATATATATACATATATATATATACATATATATATATATATATATATATATATATATATATATATATATATATATATATATATATATATATATATATATATATATATATATATATATATATATATATATATATATATATATATATATATATATATATATATATATATATATATATATATATATATATATATATATATATAGATAGATATCAGAGAGTTTGCAATAAATATATATATGGTTTGGTTTTGGCTAATATAGATACATTAAATTTTAGCGCACCAAATTTGGTTTACTGTGCATTTATTAATTTTTATGAATTTTTGTTAAGAAAATAATTTGAATTTGTGTTTTATTATTTGAAAGTCTATTGTTTAAGCGTGTTTTTTTTTTTAAACTTTATTTATGTTAATAAAGAAGTTAACTTAATTAGAGAAATTAGGAAATTATGGAAAAACTAAGATTTTAGAAAAGATTATTTGATAGAGAATCCTGTTTCATCTGACCCGGAAAATCTAGAATTGTATGATTTTTGATTTATTTGTCCAAATATTGTCTATTATTAAACCTGACTTTTAGTTCAATATGACTTATAAATTTTTATAATTATTATTTATATATTTAAGTTTGTATGAACTTTAATATGTTAAACTTTCTTAGTTATATAATTTTAAATACCTAATGTTATTTTTTTCTTGAAAGTTTACCAGTTTTTTTATTTTTAAATATACTTTATAATTTTAGGGAATATATCGTCTAAATTTTTCTGCTTTTGTATTGATTATTGATAGATAAAAAGTATTTAAAAATATTTTAGTTTAAATGGCTCTACCTGAGGTACGAAGGTCTTCAGATCCGCGAATTGTACGCAAATTACATTCAGCAATCAAAAAAATTTGTGAGCAAAAGCAAAGTCCTATATTTGAAAGAATTTTTAAAGCTTTAACTATTGATAAAGTTCAAGTTACACGTTCGAGAGTTGAGTTGCAATTAAAGAATTCTGTTGATGATGGGCTTATAGTAGAATCTGGATTTGGTAAAGGAGGTATTGCAAATAAAGTTTTAGTTCCATCATATAGAACACCAAGTATTGAAACATTTTATGAGGTAAATGACATATTTTGTTTAATATTTTAGTTAATATATATATATATATATATATATATATATATATATATATATATATATATATATTGTTAAATAACTAAAAATATATATACATCATAATATAAAAACTTTTAACAAAAATGTAAAAGTTTTTCAGTGAAAAAAGTTATATTGTATTCACATTGTACACTTAAAAGGTAACATTGAAAAAAGTTTAGCAATACAATGACTTCCTTATTATTTGGTAATAAAATTGCATCTAAAAGCTAGTGATCTTTTATTTAAAAGTTTATTAAAACTATAAAGTAATTGCTGTATTTTAGTTTATTTTGTAACAGTTTTATTATAGCATTATTTTATGATAACAATCTATTCTATTCAGATTTAAATACAAAAAAGTATATGTATAATACAAATATTAGGATATTGATGCTTTATTATAGAATGACTTCTAAATATATATATATATATATATATATATATATATATATATATATATATATATATATATATATATATATATATATATATATATATATATATATATATATATATATATATATATATATATATATATATAAAACAAATGATTGCACGAGTTGTGGAATGCCCAGCTAAAACGGACATAATGTGTAATCCAAGTTGCCAGCACAAAGAATGTTTACTTTAAAAAAACTCATGGAAAAAGTAAAAGGATTATAATTCATTGCATTTTGTTAATGAATTTGTTAGTTAAAAAGTAATATTTTGTACCATATCATAAATACATTAAAAACAAGCGTCTGAAACGATTATTTTTATATATTTATCCAAGCATTATTTTCACAAGGGCTTTCTAAAAAAAATGTTAAAAAGACTGTTGCATCAAATTTTTTATATTTTTATTATTTAATATATATTTAGATTGCTTTTTTATTAAAATGATTGATTATTTTATAAATATTTTTTTCTCTTATTTTATAAATATTATTTGTTTTTTCTTATTTTCATATATGAAAAGTTTATTTGTTACTCTTATTCTCTGTGAATTTTTTTTTTTTAATTTGAAAAGTTTACAAATTGTACTGAAGTAGCTCCAAGCAAGTGAATAATTGTAAGAAAATACTTTTGTAATTAAAACTTGAATGGTACTCTTAAATTTTTTTTTTATTGTTATTCAAATTTAACAAACTAATTTTTATTAAAAAATATTTATGTTGTTTAAATATATGCATATTTAACAACATAATACCTATTTTTTTTGCTTGGACTAAGTCATATTTTACATAGGTATTACCGTAGCAACTAGGGGGTCAGCAGGGGCATTTGCCCCCCCCCCTCCCCTAATAATTTTTCAAATAAATAGTTTTGGTAAAATTGACTGAAAAAATGGCTAAAAAAAAAAAAGGTCCATAAAACTGTTTCGGGGCCCCTTAATCCAACAATGCCCCCCTCCCTCCTAATATAATTTTTCTTACTACTGGCCTGATATGGAAGTTAAACACGCTATAAAAATGGTGCGTATTAAAAAGTATATGTTTTATTTCAATTGAAAATATAAAACTAAAAATATAAATAGTATTTTAAAAACTATTCAAGTTTTGTAGCTTTTTTTCTTTAACTTTGAAACATAAACTTTGGGAAACAGGCCACTGTGCAGAGAAACAAATTGAGGATGATACTACCAGAGACATGGTTAAGATTTAAATTGTTTACAAAGTGACTACTCTACTAATACACCACAACCACATCTTGGGTTTTTCTTTCACAACTGATCTCTCACAAAAGCTATCTCCATCTATGTAAATCTCTTATTTGCCTTTGCATGGAATACTATGTCATTTTCTGACTGGTTCTAATAGGACCCTTTTTTAGAAAAAGGCTAAAGTTGCATTGCAAATGTTGTTAGATCAGCAATAGCTGTCAAGCTTGAGTCATATCCCATAGTTGTATGGTTGGACCTTGTTCTCCTTTCTATAGATAATACCATGGTTGCTGCTCAAGTAAGCTTTTATATCTTATTCTATCACCAAAGCTCAATCTCACCTGTCTTGTTATTCAGCTAAGTTAAGCTAAGCTTTATCCTTTTACTGTAATCGTTTATTTATGCTTAAAGAAATTGCTTTTATCTAGTTTTTTCCTTAGACATCAGTTGTCTGGAATTTTCTCCTGCCTTCATATTTTTTGACTCATACAGATTGTGTTTTAAAGAAGGCATTCATTAGTCACAAATGTATGAGTTGTTTTTTTTTTAAGTCATTTAATAAAGTTTAGGATTTCTTGATGGTAGTATAATTTTTTAAATACCCACTCCTGGTCTGAAAATATGGTTAACATCTAAAAAGGCATTGGATTGTAAAGAATTGCTTTAGCAAATCCATGTCATTTAAGATGAAAAATAGCATTATTGAAACATGTCCGAACCAGACAAGTGTGGAAACACGGATTTTAAACCTATATTATTAAAAAAAAATCCTCTAAAATCCTCTCTTTTTTTTTTCAAAATTTCGTAGTTACGCAAAAAAATCCTATAAATTAGACACAAAATCTCCTCTAAAATCCTCTAATATCCTCTTTTTTTATGAAAATTTTATGTGGCCACCTTGTAGAATTTTTCATTGACAATTTTGTTCATTTCTCTCCATTAAACTGTTAAAACAGTTTTGTTACATAAAAATTCATTTCCACTGTTAAAATATAAGAGAGTAAAGTATATAACAGTATTTGTATAAAGTTGTTCTGGGAATCCTTATACATTATTTCAAAGTCAGTTCAATTAAGCAATATAGTATTTTCTAGAGAGTATATATTCATTACTTAATAAATATTCGTTACTATTTACTTATAAAGTTGAGAATTTATTTTTATATTTATTAACAGCAAGTGACTGTTTACAGTTATATATACTTTTAGAATTATAAAGATGATGCTAATGACTGGTACTGTTTACAGTTATATATACTTTTAGAATTATAAAGATGATGCTCATGACTGGTACTGTTTACAGTTATATATACTTTTAGAATTATAAAGATGATGCTCATGATTGGTACTGTTGGGTATGTCATAGAGAAGGAGAAGTCTGTTTGTGCTCTAGTTGTCCTCGTGTTATTCATAAAAAGTGTGCTGAATCAATATCAGAAGATTTGGATGAAAATTTTGTTTGCTACTGTTGTAAGGTATTTCTTTTTTATTAGTTTAATCATAAATAACTTGTAAACTTACACTGTTATAAATTTATAACAGTGTCGCATTAAAAGTAATTAAAGTTTTGACCGTAAAGACAAAGAATTTTTTTTTTCAAACTTATAAAATATAGATTTAATGCCCCTATCAGCATGATCTTATGTTCCTATCAGATTGATAGGTTTTATGTCTCCATCATCATAAGTTTATTTTTCCATCATTTATAGGATTTGCAATCCACCAAGTCTTATGGAAAAAAAGAATTAGATGAATTATCAACAATGTTGAAATATACAATAAGGCGAATGAAAAGTAAGGTAAGAGTTGTAGATATTTTTGATCTACAGAAACTATTACATCTCGACAAGATTTTATTTTCTTAATAATTAAACCATCAAATGTAAAAAAATTAAAAACATTCATGCTAACATCAACTTGATTTTTTTTTTTTTTTTGTACTTAATATTACTGTTTATAAATTTATATATAAATAGTAATTTATAGTGTATAATCTAGTAGAATGCTACTCTAAACTTTTTTCTAAGGCAACAAAATTTTTTAAAAATGGTTAAATTTATTTTAAAGTGTGACCATTAATTTTTTAAGCTGAAAGTTTGTGAGTTAAATAATGAGAAACATCAAGGGTTTTATTCCATAAAAACTCTTTAAAGAAGTCTTCTAAGAAAGAAGTATTACGTTATAAAATTTTTGAGAAAAAAGAGTTTTATTTTCATTATACTACTTTTTTACTTTTCAGTGAGGGAGGGGGGGGGTTACAGTTAAGGAAGCTATACTGTTTTTATTGTAATTACAACTTAATAAACATATTTTGCTTCAATTTGACAAACTATTAAATAACTGACATTTTTGCACAACCTTTGATGAACTAGGTTAGTACTATAGAAAAAAACATTTTTTAAATGCTTCACCATGTTTTAAAGTAATTTTACTATCTAACTTCATGTTGTCCATTATTCTTTCTAAACTTTTATATATCTACATCTACATCTACTCCAGAAAAAGACATGATAATACCCAATCATCTTCATCCTTATACTCTATATGTGAACAACCTTGACCTTTGTTGCTCGATAGCCTTCTCATATAAAGTTATAAACATACTAACGCTATTTTACCACAACCTCAGTCTGCTGTTATTAAACCAAAAACAAAATAAGTCAAAACTATGCAAAAGTAAAGAAACTTAATACTATAATATCTGAATACTTTTAGATTTTGCGTTGTTATTTCATTCATAAAATAAAAAATCTTTAGTTAGCTTATTCTTATTTCTATTTACATTTCTCAATTCTTATTCCAATTTTTAGTTCCATTAACTAATACATTTATTATGTTCTTAATTTAAAAAAGTATATGGAATAAGAAAAAAGTTTAAACTTTGACAAACCCAATGTTGTATTATAAAAGGAACCTACAATTGCAGTGACACTTGAAATAACCTGCAATATGTTAAAGCTAAAATTTATACCATTTTAAAAATGCTTTTTTTTGTTAATCATAAAAGCAAAACATATAAAGAAAAAATTGCTGACAATATGAAAGCTGTTTAATTAGAGTTTCGTCTTCTGTTGAGATGCGTTACTAACTTCCTTTTGATGGTGTTTTAATAAGAGACATGAAATTTATTTTTAACAACTTGTGTTTATCATTCGGTTTGACCAGTAGCACAACTGACTTGAAAATGTGGATGCATGAACTTTAGAAGCCAGTCAAAATTTACGTTTGTTAAATTTTTAAAACAAGTATTTCAATAATATAACATTTTGACAGAAAGTTTTGACGAAGTTTAGTATTTATTAGAAAAAAAAATTTAAAATCACTTATGCTGTATTTGAAATATACCCAACTTTAAAAACAATATTTGTAGCATTTAATATAAATAGATTATAAATAGTATACCTCTTTTCATCAAATTTTGAATTAAAAATTCCCAAACCACCCTGACTCAAATTGTGATTAATTGATTTTTTTTTCTAACTTTAACTTGTTTATTTAATTAATTATATTATTATTGTTTTTTTCGCTAATTATTTGCTATTTTTAAGCTTATTCAACTTTGCTATCAATTTAACACTACTTAATTTTGGCACTTTATTTTTTAGCAGTCAAAGATTGTATTGTTCCAATCTTTACGCAACTCTGTTGTGAAGAGTTAAATTTATATAACTTTTGGTGATGTTGGTTCATGGATCAACTGTTACACTGAATTTTTCATCATTTTTTTCTGACAGCAAAATGATTACCCTACCAGCTATCAGTTGTTGTGCAGTGGTAAGAGTGCTGATTTCAGATCAAAAGATTCAATGTTTGATCTGGACAAAGTTATGACATCAATGAGAAAATTGGTTAAAAAATGCCCATGGCGCTCTGTGGCAAGTCTAGGGTTATCTAAAGATAGTTTTTAAAGAAACATCTTGAAGTTCTTTAAAAGGCACAATTGAAAAAAAATAATTGAACCTGCTAAATGCTATGTAACTAAATAGTCTTTAAAAAATTTTTTCTCAACATTATCGATGTTTTGAGATTTCTGATTATAACAGACAAAAAATTGATCACTTCTGCATATTGTGACTTTAGGATTGATTCCTCAATTCTTATTTTTTTTTAAATCTGAACTTAATGAAAATTTAGATACTAAAGTGTTTAAATGACTCATATTTCGATAATTGACATTTTTTAAAAATTATTTTTAAAATTTGGTATTGCCAAGCACACCAAAGTAATTTTTTATTAAATTATTTTTTAGTTATTATATATATTAGCTGAACATTTTATCATACATAAATTTGACGGAGTTGTGTCAAATATCATTGGCACATACATTTTTTCCAGTTTTCTGGCATTTACAATATTTGTGTTTGCTGTTGCTTTCCAAATTAAAACAAGAAACCTAGACAAACACAACAATTTCACATATGGTGCACTTGGTTTTCCTGTTACTGCAATAGCCAAATGTTTTATTTTACCATCTAATATAGATACCAGTTTCAGTTCACAGTAAATTTAAGAGTAAACGGACGAACCTTTTCTTAATTGTCATATAAAAACTTATTTGCTTGCTGTGTTTTTTGAGATTTCATCCCATTTTCAGACCTAATATTTTTTCTACAGCTAAAATGAACCTAGTTCTTTCTCTCTTTAATAGATTTAACTTTTCAACCATTAAAGAATTTTTAAGGTGTCTTATTATTTTGATTATTTTTTTGCATTTTTAATCAACTTCTCTTTAAGATGCACCAAATTCACCATGGTTCTAGTTTTCTTTCTGTTTTGTTGGAATCATGGGCATTTTCTAAAACATTCACTTTTTTACTAACTACAGGTGCAACTTCTTTTTTTCCAGTTAGTTTTAATTAAATTCTTCTAAGTAAAAACTCTCTGTTAATTGGTAGTTGACTGAGTACCTCTATTCAAGACTAGGTAATAATTTTAAATAAAAAATCTTGAACAAATTTCTTCAACTTTGCATGTTGAAAATTTTTGAGAATTATTAAAAAAGAAATCACAAAAAAATCAAGAAAAGATTTTATTATATGTTTTAAATTATCTTTTAGTTCAGGGTTAATGCACCCTCCATCATCACTTTTTACGTTTGTATGTGTATATATATATATATATATATATATATATATATATATATATATATATATATTTTAATTAAGAATTTTAATTTTAATTCACCTCCTCAAGGCCGAGAAGGCCACTACAGACGAGGAGGCTACTTATTTGTGGCTATAACCCTCTCTCAACTCTATAACTCTGAAAACAAACCTTGACGAACAAGGCCGCTGCGCGGAGAAACGAGTTGAACGCGGTACTACCAGAGACGTGGTGGGGATCGAACTCGCAACCACTCATTTATGAAGCGAGCGCTCTACCACTACACCACTACCGCATGTATATATATATATATATATATATATATATATATATATATATATATATATATATATATATATATACATGTTATAATTTACAGCTTAAATTAAAAGTTAAAGATTAAGTTGCAGTTATAATGCAATGTCAATTAACGTATTTAATACTATTACATTATTACTTTTAGTTATTTTTTTTACTCAATATGACACATAAAAAAGTAAATAAAAAACTCAAATATTAGAATATTTAAACCACTGTAATAAGTTATAAAAAACTATTTAATACCCTGTTTATACTGGCAATAAAACACATTTTATTTTTAAATCATAATAAATTGTTATTGTAAAAAGTTATAAAAACAATAAAACAATAATGTGAGCTTTTGTTAATATAAAACAACTTCTCATTGTTTTATTGCTATTTTAACAAATTAAATATACTATAGTTTTTAAAGCAACTAAGCAACTTTAAGGCATGACTGCTATTTCTCATCAAAAAATGTAGTAAATATGAGTTATAGAGACAAATATTTCATTTGAAATACTCACAAGCAGTTTATTTTAATATAAATATATATATGAAGTCAACAAATTTCCAACTTCTGTGCGTGACTTCCGTGCATGACCATATATAAACTGCCTTTAAATGGTTTCTGTTACTACATAGTGCAATCCTGCATCTTTCTGGAAATTATTACTAATGTCTAAAATATTAATTAAAAAAAGTTTGTTGCTTAAACTTAAATTTTTTAGGAATCAAAGTTTATTTATCTAGCAACTAAAATTTGCGTTTTTCTGTTCCATGTGTGTAATACACAAAACTATGTGTAATTTTTTGGAAATGTCTGACATTAAAAACATAAAAGTTTAAAATAAAATGTCTAGCATTAAAAACATAAAAGTTTAAAATAAAATGTCCAACATTAAAAACATAAAAGTTTAAAATAAAACTAAGTAAATAGAATTCATCTGATTAACAAATTAGAATTGATGAAAACATAGTCATAAAATTTTAAACAATGTTTTTACAAAATATTAAGTTTAAATTTTATCTATAGACCAATCGATTAAATCAAAAAACAAACAAGTAAACTCAAACACTAAAATTTTACTATATTCATTTAATTTATTGCTTCTTGTTTGTACTATTAAAAATTTAAGTATAACTAATTTTTTCATTCAAAGGATTTTTAAGTTGATGTTTTCATTCAATTTTTTTTTTGTTCAAATTGGTTGGAAATAAAAGTAAGAGAAAAAAATGTTTGTTTAATAAATGTTTCAATTTTTAAATTTAATTCAAGAAACAAAAGATAATGACTCCTTTACAAAACATATTTAACTATTAAAACTATTTATTAAAAAAAAATTTCTCACTTTCACTTCTCTTTTAAATAATGTTACTGTTGCTAGATTTGTTTTTTGTTTTGGTTTTCACAAATAATCATTGCTATCCCACTGAGTATTACAAAAATTGCTTTATATATAATATAGTATTAAATAATATTAATAATAACTTATATATAATATAATATTAAATCATAACTTAAGTTTATTATTATTGTTAGTGAGCTTTAAAAATTGTCTAAATTCTTTTAATTTTTTTCAAAATTTTAAATTTAAGATTATTTGAATTAAAGAATTTTAGAAAACTAAAATTCTCTTGTTTAAATAATTATTTTTTTTAATGAATTCCTAAAAACAACTTGCGTATTTATAGAAAATGATTAATTGATATAATAATGATATAAATTGCTATATAAATGATATAAATAAAATAAAAGTATAAAAAAATGGTATTGTGTTTTTCGTATTCTTCTTCTTTGTTAAAATAATTTTAAGTTGAAAGCTTATTATGTGTTGACAACATATAAGTTATAAATAGAGACATTTCTAAGGGTAACTTTTGCATGTAAATAGCTTTGAGCATATTAAGTATATTTAATAGTTGGTTTTATTCATTTAATAGCAACTTAATTGTAGTAACTTAACTGGTTGTTTTGATTTAGTTTGTCGGTAAGTTTATTGTGATGTAATTTATCTGTTCAATAAATTACATCTCTTAACTTTAAAGTAAAAGTAGAATATCATTGGCTTCCACACATAATTTAAAATAAATATTACATAACGGTTTATTTTAAATAGAAATCTCCATGCAAAAGAGTATATGATCATACTTCCATTTAAAAGTTAAATTTAGCATGACGTATTTTATGGATGACCCTTAATAAAAACCTCAGACAAAAACATTCAGAATTTTTAAGAATAAGCAAAAAATTTGCTAAATTTGAAATTTTTTTTGCCAAAAACCAATTGTGAAAGTGTTAAGGTAATTGCAATTTGCAATTAGATAATGCTTAATTCGAGCCCTGATAAATATTCATTTTTTCAGTTTATTTTTATTTAAGTTGTATTGATAGTTATTTTACTACTTTGAGACCTTTTTACAAATAAATATTTGGTATTTCCTAATGTTTTGATTGGTAGATATTTTTTAGTTATTTTGTTTGCATATTTTAGTGTGAAGAGTTATGGAAAACCCCAACAGTAGAAGAGGAGCCGACATACAAGCTTTTTGTTTATAAAGATACTAATTTGTTAGATCTGGAAAAGGTTAGTGTTAATATTTAGATTATCTTTTTTTTTTTTTTTTTTTTTTGAGTTTTATGAATAATTTTTATCATTTTTTATTTATAACATATTTGTTGTTTATAACTATTATAAACAGACAGGATTAAAACAGTATGTGTTTTAAAAACCTGTATATATTTATTCAATAAATCACTTACTAAAAAAAATATCCTGTAAAACTTTTTATTAATCCATTAAAAGTCATAATTGATTTCAAAAAACTTTTTGTTTTTTGAAATCAATTATGACTTTTAATTAAGTCACTTGTTGCAGAGATAAGCCAATAAATAACTGTTTTAAAAATGTTTTAACAGTTTAACATAGTTTATTGCATTTTCATTCACAGATCAAATAGTTTGACATACACAGATTAAATATATTATACATAAATATATTACACAGATTCATATTATACATGACCAACTTTCATTGCTTTTGTTTCTATTTTACTCTTAAAGTCTATATTAGCTAAAGTCTACATGTTGATATTTTTGCTAGAACACTAGAATAAGTTTAATAAGATGAATTTAATTCAGGTCTAATTTAAAAGGCTTACTTCTAGTACTGATAATTTAAGGCTTAGTTCTAGTACTAATGAAATAATTTTTTGTATATTTTTTTGTATTACAATTTATATATATATATATATATATATATATATATATATATATATATATATATATATATATATATATATATATATATATATACAGAGAGAGAGAGAGAGGCTTGGCCAAGAAGGTTTGTGATTTCAAGTCTTTATATAAACACCCAAAGAATATTTTGTTTTGACAATTTAACCATGGTTTTTAAAAAATGCACTGAAAAAATTGGTTTTTAATTATGTTATGAATAAATAACTTTAACATGTTTATCTTTACTAAGATTTTTATGTTAGCAAATTGCTGTTAAATTAAGTAGCTAATTATTTTATTTAATTGATATCAAATAAAATATCATTGGAAGTTTTATAAATTTTTATTTATATTATTTAATTATATAAGATTTTTTTATAAATAAAATAAAAAAAAGTAAAAGTTATAAAAAAAAAGTTCAATTTTATAGGCATGAGCTTTAAACAGCAATGGTCACTTTAATAAACTATATATAAAAATCATTAAAGTTTAGTCACTTAAAAAAAATGATTTTGTTGAAAAGAAAAAAAAAAGACAAACTTTTGAAACCCGTTTGAATTAAATAACTTTGATTTATACCCTATTTTTATATTATTAAAACCCATTTAATTAGAGAAACAAATCACTGCTAATGATTTTTTATAAAAATATTAATGAATAATATATATTTTTTTATATTTAAATAAGTTTGTATTTTTATAAAAAATGTCTTTAAATAAAAAAAAAATTTATCGACTTTTTAAATAAACAGTTTAATTATTTTTTCTTTTGTTTACGTTACTGTAAGACTTGTTAAGATTTTTTTTTAACTTTTAAATGTGCACATTTATTGAACAATCCTTAGATGTTTTTTTATTTAAAAAGGGTTTTACATAATATTATATTATAAAAACATAAGAAAAGATAAACAATTCAAAGTTATTTATTCCAAACATAGCTTAGATAATCTTATCGTTATAGTTTATTAATGGTTTTTAGTTTTAGTTTTTTTTATTTTAGTTTGAGTTAAGTTATTTTTATTTTAGATTTATTTTTTTATAAGTTTTTTTTAGATTTTTTCATAGTTAAGATAATTTTTTCAGTGCGTTTTTAGAATGTATACAAAGTATACATTCTAAAAATGTATTTGTGTGGTCATATTATGACCACACAATAAATATATATATATATATATATATATATATATATATAAATATATATATATATATATATATATATATATATATATATATATATATATATATATATATATATATACTATATATATATATATATATATACATATATATATATATATATATATATATATATATATATATATATATATGTATATATATATATATGTATATATATATATATATATATATATATATATATATATATATATATATATATATATATATATATATGTATATATATATATATATATATATATATATATGTATATATATATATATATACATATATATATATATATATATATATATATATATATATATGTATTTATGTATGTATATATATATATATATATATATATATATATATATATATATATATATATATATATAATGTATTTATGTATGTATATATATATATATATATATATATATATATATATATATATATATATATATATATATATATATATATATATATATATATATATATATATATACTTAAATTTAAAAAAAAAAAAACTTTTAATGGAATTTAAAATTTCTTGTCTATCAGCAATCATCAGCCATGAAGTACAAAATCAAAAAGTATAAAAAACCGTTTAAAAATTACAAACTATGGTAAAATGAGTTCTGACGTTATAGTACAAGAAGACGTAATGGAAAACTAATCTCCGCTATCAAATAATGAAAGGAGAAATTTATTTTTGTGTCTACATTTAGAAACTAGTTCGCCTATTTTGTTTAGCAAGTTGTCACCTTTGTAAAATAATATTTTGAATTTCTCGTTTAAACAAAGCTTACATATTTTTGATGCAGGATTGTATGATTTACATCGTTTAATAATATTCCATTTGATTGAAGGTGTAAAATTGTTTTTTTTTTAGTTCCCATACTTCCTTAAATAACTCAGTGTCGTTCTTGTACTTTTTTATGTTAAAGGATTTTAGATGGTTTGCATAATGTAGCTTAAAAGAGGTTTTGATTATCCTAATGTATACTTTATCTTTGTATTGAGGTTTATTTGAGCTTGTAAGTGGCTTGGTAAACAATGTTGTTAGACCAGAAATTGTTGTTCAATGGACAAAGTCTGCAATCGCAGACTTTTTCTGATAATTTTACATCACCTTATAAAATATTTTTGTTGTTTGAGTTGTGTGAATGGTAGATTTAATATTTGGCATGCAGGAGTAGCTAATCTTAATTTTGTTTCTGTTAAATATTCTGTGTAATGCTTTAGGAAAATGCTTTTCAATTAGGGTTAAAAAACATTGACCAATTTTGGTTGTAACATTTTTACTAAATGGAGGATTGTACCAGATTTTATTTCATTTGCGGTTATTTTTTGGAACATTTTTTATGCTTGGTTTATGCTTTTTTAAAGGGTTTTTTATATTTTTTGATTTTGTACTTCATGGCTGATGAAACTTTAAGTTCCATTAAAATTTGTTTTTTCTAAATTTAAGTATAAAACGCTGAAAAAATATATATATCTTGAATATTGAGCACTATACAACGATCAAGAGTTTAATATTTTTTATTACTAAATCATACAACACTATAAATGTATATATATATATATATATATATATATATATATATATATATATATATATATATATATATATATATATATATATATATATATATATATATATATATATATATATATATATATATATATATATATATATATAGAGGCTTGGCCAGGAAGGCGTGCGATTTTAAGTCTTTATGACCATGCAAATAATATTTTGCTATGATTTAACCACAGCTTTTAACAAATGCGCTAAAAAAATAGATTTTTAATTACGCTGAAAATAAATAAATTTAACACGTTTATCTTTACTAACGTTTTTATATTAGCAAAATGCTTTTAAATAAAGATTTTAATTATCATTGAAAAATGTATGTTTTTTTATTTATATTATTTAGTTATATAAGATTTTTTTATAAGTAAAAATAAAAAAAGTAAAAGTTATTAAATTTTTTTTTTTTAAGTTTTAGACTTTAATAAGCAAAGGTCTCTAATAAACTTCATACAAAAATCATTGAGGTTTTTTTTGAGAAGAAAAAAAAAACTTTTTTGAAAGCTGTTTGCATTAAATAACTTCTTTACTTTAGTTTTTATTTTATTAAATTTAAATAAAGTAACAAGTCACTGTTAATGATTTTTTATAAAAACATATATATACTTTTAAAAGTATTTATTTTTTATTATAAATGTTTTTAAATAAAAAATAATCAAATCAAAATTTTAAATAAACAAATTATTTTTTTTTTAGTGCAAAGAATTAAGAATTTTTTTTTAAACTTTTAAATGTGCTGTTTATTAAACAATTGTCAGTTGTTAGTTGTTACTTTATTTAAAAGCGTTTCGCATAATTTGCATAATTATATTAAAAAAGCATTAGTAAAGATAAACGGTTTAAATTTATTTATTCCAAACGTAATTTAGATAATCTTATCGTTATAGTTTATTATTTAATTTTGTTAAGTTTTAATTTTATTTCTGCTGTTTTAGTTAAGTTTTTTTTCTTTTTTTTTTGTTTTTTTGTTTTTTTACCAAGATTTATTTGCTTCTTTTACGATAAGATTTTTTTAAGTTTTTTTTTTGTTAAGATAATTTTTTTAGCGCGTTTTTATAACATATACGAATTTTCAAGACATTTTTTTTTTTTTTTTTTTTTTATTATACTTCACTTCCTCAAGGCCGAGAAGGCCACTACAGACGAGGAGGCTACTTATTTTGTGGCTATAACCCTCTCTCAACTCTATAACTCCGAAACACGAACCTTGACGAACAAGGCCGCTGCGCAGAGAAACAAGTTGAGCGCGGTACTACCAGGGATGTGGTGGGGATCAAACTCGGAACCACTCGTTTATGAAGCGAGCGCTCTACCACTACGCCACTACCGCATAATTAAGAGCCGTGGTCAAGTTAAGTAAAATCAAATAGTATTTGTGTGGTCATATTATGACATGAAATCGAACGTCATCCTGGCCAAGCCTGTATATTAGGGTGCAGTGAAACTTTAAGTAAAAATATAAATAGTAAATTATTGATATGTAATTTTTGATGTGTTCAAATAAAGTGAATAAAGTTTCCTCAAAATTTTAATGTCTTCAGCTGCCTCAAGGGGGTCAAAGTTACTTAAAAATAGGTATTTTT